CATTTTCTTTTTTGCTAGGCTAATCCCTATAAAACTCTATTTCGAGTTTATCTTCTACCTTTACATATTTTTCCACCCTGCCCATTAACTCATCCATGTCAAGGGCAGGGCATCTTGTCAACAATTAGTACAATGGGTTCTCTTTTGGAAACTCGATCCTGAATGACACAACTTAATCTCAAGATTGCAGTTCTTTATCTCGTTCATCGTTTCCCCAGTAACAATGAGCATACTCTTATAATGTCTCCTCCTATTTCTTCTTTAAGGAAATCAACACCCCAGTGTACTTCGAGTGCCTACTGCGGGTAATGAATCGAGCAGTAAACTGCTCGATGAGTTACACCCAACTATCAATTGAATTCCATAGGAATATAGTGCACATTAAGGCTTCGTTTTCTTGTGTACTGTCATAAGCTATCTATAATGGTGTATATTGGCAGAAGGATCCATCTTGTCATCATAGAGTTTGAAGTTTGGCATCAAGAACTTGCTAGGTATCCTCTCTTCCTCTATCCATAGGGCAAAGGGGGACACCTCCACTCCCTGCAAGTACTCTCGTGTGACCCTCCTAGCTAGTTCATATGTAGTTCGACATTCGAGACACTTTAAACAACTATCAAGTTGCTTCTTTATGAAGCGCTTCCAACTATCCTCCTAGTTTTCCATCGAGCAGACTGTTGCCTCCCGTTTCTGTCGTGTGCATTGTCTTTGTGCCTATTCCTACATTCAATAGGGCTATGTTTACGGCTAGTGGGATGAGATTCTCCTTTAACATCAATCTCGGTGTGATCTAACTTGTCATGGACATTACAGTTTACCAATCCCTTTAGAGCTTCCTTCAACGTCTCATTCTCCTATCTCTTCCTCTCTTTTTTTCCTAGGACCTCCAAAGCATGGCATCCTAAGTGTCTAATTTGTCCTCAAAGGATCTTATCAACTTCATGAAGGCAGATATTTCCCTGTTGTTTAAGGAACATCCTCCTAAGGATTGTGTAGTCCTAGGGAGGTGTTTTCCTATTCTCTCTACCTATCTTCATTAGAACTTCTAGTAGTACTATCCCCTACATCAGTATTCAAGGGCAAGGATACTCGGTAGTACATTTGGGGTCGTACTAGTCAGATTGTTGGTCATTGTGTGGTGATCTTAGCGTGCTTCATAAGTTTGACATAACTTAATCCATTGCTTCACTTCCCACAAAATGGCATCAATTGGACAAGGGTAAAATCTTACACCTTTGATTGATGATGTGGAAATTGAATAATCTAGTTTGAATGTAAAGAACAAGGTGCACCTCTCCCTACAAAACGAACAAATTGCTATAGATCGAGCTTTGATCAGTTAGAGGCACTCCGATGCTTAAGTCAATAAAGAATCTAATGTTTACGTAAGCTAATTGTAGGGAAAGAAATGTGTCCCTTGACTTAAGCTCATCTGATATTTGTAGGAGTATGTATCCATTTTTTATAGTTTTTAATCATAGCTAGAATGGGGTGTCACACCTATCTTTTAGCCAAATCTTCCTAAATTCATGCATGTATCTTTTTGGTATCCTTCTCCACTAATTGATTTTTAGGTCATATGTTTAATATGCACCTTCAGAATAAGTAATTTCCCTAATTGGTTGCACACAGTTGCCTCTAGTTATTCGTGATAGCTTAGCTATCTTTCGGTCTCATTCCTTATCTTAGTTTGCAAACTTAGTGTATACCGCCCACACTCTTATCTTTATATAACAAGTAATTAATTTTGAAATGCTAATATAGGTGATGAGGTATACATGAACCCTATAGATTGTAATAGTAGGAATAAATACTAGGGAGACAAATTGATTATGAAATTTAATTTTTGGAGGTATTTAAGGTTGATAAGCGTAACTAAGTAAAAATATTAATTTTTTAGGTCAAAATAATATTATCATTGAACCGGGAGATGGGAAAAACTTGAAATAACCGTTTAGCATATATAGCGGTTTGGATGAATAAAATAGTAATTTTAGTGTTTTAAGTGTAAATTTACTTTATTNAAAACTTAGAATAGCCTTTAGCACATATAGTGGTTCGAAGGAATAAAATAGTAATTTTTGCATTTCGAGGGTAAATTTATTTTATTTTTGAAATAACTCATAACAATAAATTTTCTTAGGTTAAAATAACATTAAAAATGAATCCGGAACGTCAAAAAACCTTAGGATAGTCATATAGATCAAATTGGAGATTTTTAGTGGTAAAATCATAATTTTGAAGAAAACCCAAAAATCAGCCTGTGAACAGTAACTTTGGGGACTGCTATATTTAAAATNAATTTAAATGTGTTAAAGTAGCACCCTTGTTTTTTTTTAACTATTAAATTGATGAGTTTTTTTTAATCAAAATGTTATCATTGTGTCTTATACAAATTTAAAATATTACACTACACAGATGATATTAATGAAAAATTTGACTCATTTAATTATTATGTCAGAGAAAATTTTGTATTTCAAGATCAACCGTAATCGTTGATCGGTTGAGAGAAAAAATATTAATGAAAAAAATGTTAATTTTTTGACCGTTGGTTGAATGAAATTTAGACTGGAAGATGTGTTTCAAGATTAGCTGTAATTGTTGACCGGTTGAGAGGGGAATATGAAGAAAAAAATGGTAATTTCTTGACCGTTTGATGAATGAATTTGAGACTGTATGATGAATTTATAGAAGCCGCTCTGTTTTATATTATAGATAATCAAAATGTTATCATTGTGTCTTATACAAATTCAAAATATTACACTACATAGATGATATTAATGACAAATTTGACCCATTTAATTATTATATCAGAGAAAGTTCTGTATTCCAAGATCAACCGTAATCGTTAACCAGTTGGGAGGAAAAATATTAATAAAAAAAATGTTAATTTCTTGACGGTTGGATGAATGAATTTAAGACTGTAAGATGTGTTTTAAGATCAGCTGTAAGATGTGTTTTAAGATCAGCTGTATGATGGATTTGTTGAAGCCGCCCNAGACTGTAAGATGTGTTTTAAGATCAGCTGTAAGATGTGTTTTAAGATCAGCTGTAAGATGTGTTTTAAGATCAGCTGTAGGATGGATTTGTTGAAGCCGCTCNCTTGCGAGGATTTGTGTGTGTGTAGGCCAGAATATTCTCTGTGTTTATTCATGTAATTATCTTATATCAGACTTAAAATACATTGTGGTTATTGTTTATTGCGTAATCTTTTGGATATGATTATCTTAGAAATTGTTGTGGGAATGATTACTCTTTGGAATGGTTGTTTATGGTGAGATTGACTTTACTCTTATATTTAATTATTGTTAATGTATAAACTTGAGATCTTTTAAAAAAATCATGTTTTCTTTCAAAATTTACGTATGCTATTTGTGAAATAAGACCGATCGTTTTTTACATTTTTCAAACCTTGTTAGAGTTTGAGAGGATTTTCCTATAGAGCTTAGTGCTCACCCCCTACCAATAATATTTTTTTTTCAAAATTCGTGCTAGAGGAAGATCTCGAAATTGACGAGCCAAAAAATTGGGAGGCTCCACCAGAGGGAAACCTAGATCCCGAGGTGGACGTCTAGAGTTATAGTTTATTTTTGTGCTAGACTAGGGAATTTGTTTACGATCATGTATAGTCTAGTATGTTATTTATTCCGTTGCTAAGTTTAAATGTAATTTTTTTGGAATGTAATTGTCATAGCTTGGTCTATTCTTTTGGGATGATACTGTGGATGTTACATATGGTGAATGAAATTTTATTATTTGATGGATTTATTTAGTGCTCTAATGATATGAATAGTTTTAGATAGTAATGTCTTCCATGAGAGATTTTGGGGCATTACAAATCAAACTTATTTTGATTGTTTTAATGTTCACTTATAAATGGACTCGGTGTGATCAATATTTATTCATAAATGGACTCGGTATAGTCAATGTAATATAATTACACAGGTTGTATTTTGAATAGAGCTCCCTGTACAAAGGAGACTTTGTCCGAATTTTGTTAAATTAAGGACCTCCGATTTTTGGGGCGTTACACTTAGAGTCCCATTCGGATACCAACTCTCTTGTGTTTGCTCGGTCTCTACTGACTACTCGATTGCCATGCAAACTGAGCCATTTAATAAGGGTGTTCCAATTCTGGTCGACTAGGGCCAAAATCTATTTGGCTAAATCATCATGCCTTAGTCAAAGACACTGTGCATTTGCTATATTGTCTTTTCTCAGTTTTATTATATTTTTTTTGTCACGTGTATTCATTAAATAGTCTAATTATGCATAATAATACTCTAAGCCCCTTTAAATTTGTTGGTTAAATTGGATTATTTATGTTTGACACTAACTTAATCCTAGTTATTTGTTTTGTGTCATGGACTGGATTATTCTTGAGTTTGTCTTGAGGAATAACCAAACATAATTTATTAATTTCATGGCATGTTCATATCATATCACATAGTCATGTAGTGTAAAAAATTTACATGCCCTAATTAGTGATTTGTCTCCTTTCTTTCTTTCCATTTTCATTTGTCAAATAACTACTACCTACTCACATTAATAAAGTAATTAAAAACCAATTATGTGATATTGGGTTAACTTTTACAGATAGCGATGAAAAAATAATAATAATAGAGTAATGTTATATAAATTTAAAAATTAGACTTAATAATTTTAATCATTGAAGAGATTATAAGTTTCAATAAATATTAGAACTCACAGTAAAATTAATAATTGAGATTATCAAATCTAATTTTTAAATCTATTTTTAAAATTTATATAACATTGGTAGTAACGATACGTAAACACTTTTTATGGATAGTTTTGACTAGGTGATAGCAAGAAGATCAAAATCACGGGAACAATCCCAGAAACAAGTAATTTAGGACGAGTCGTCGCCTCATGGCGGCCACTCAAAGTCGACTTGGAATCTCCCATCTATCACTCTCTGAACAAACCCCGAAGACAAAATCAAACTCACAATTCCCACGAATCTATTCACTCCTTCCGAGATGTCGTCCTTTCTACCGATGTATTTTCTTCGTCCCTTTCTTGTCGCGTTTGTGATCTTCGGGTCAATACGAGTTGGACTCGTGAATTCCCACGAGGAGTCCGGTGAGTGGCACTGCGATCAGGACTCGGAGAGCCGTGTCGTAGCCGAGTTCAAGCCCGGACTCGTTACCCTCGATGGCCACGCCGATGATTGGAAAGACGTCGAAGGGTTTGAGTTCTCTCTCCTCGAAGCTCTCGACCCAGATCGGGAACATGAATACAAAGGTGGAAAAATGACCATTAAGGTATTTTTTAGATCTCATATTCTTAATGCATAGACATAGACAGTGTGACGTCCCGTGGGTGAATTTGTCACTGTGTGCTTTGTTTGTGATTTATAGGCTTTGCATGATGGCAAAGATGTGTACTTCATGCTGCAAGTGGATGGGAACTATGTTTACTCAAAAGGGTGAGTCTATTTTTCTTTGAATTTCCATTTCTACTTTTCTTACTTGAGTCTTTTCTTTTAGTAGGAAACTTACTCTTTGAAGAAGCTTATCAATTTGTGTTCAGCTTTTGTGAGTGCAGCATCCAATATCTATAGCCATGTTTTTTTCTTAACCCTTTGTTGTCTAGTCTTGGAGCAATTGATAGCGATACACTATTGTGGTGACCAATTTAGCTCCTGGGTGCCATTGTATGGAACTGAAAATCTAGCATCGAAAAGTTACGGTGCTGCAATCTTTTAGCTAAGTTTCACCACTGAAAAATTTTAGAGTAGTTCACTACCCTGAAATTTTCAGCAATCTTCCCTTGATCATGTGCACTATTTAGTGAAAAGGCAAACGTCTGCACTTAAATTGGTACCTTTCAGAAATAGGTTTTATTTTTAAGTGCTTATTGGTTTCAACCTTTTGCAATTGATGAGAAGAGCAGATTGCGAAGGCAATAGCAAAAGTTGTCGGTTTTGTTGTACATAGCTACTCTAAATGATGAGCTTTGATCTAGCGCTAAAGTTGCTTTATTGTAATCTAAATGTCACAGATTTGAGTCACAGACTTAACGTCTCTACATGTGAAGTTAAGGGTACAGACATCTAACCATTTCTAGATCCCCATGGTTGTAGGAGCCTAGTGCATTGGTCTTTTATTATTATTATTATTTTGAATAAACATTAATACTCTAGCAGAACAAGGTCATGCTAAAGTAGGGCTTAAATGAGCTGCTATATTACAGACTAAAGCAGGAATGAACTGTGGTGAATTGTTGTTTCTTGCCTGAAAAACTAGCCATTTGGACCGCCACCAAGAAGCATAAGTGTACACCACTAAGTTGGAAGAAACACAAAATTAGGAAATCCCGTTTGGGGATTGTTTTGAAAAAAATACAAAGTGGAAACGGTAAGTTTGGTTGTCTTCCTGTTATTAAAACCCAACATGTTTAATGAAGTGTACATTTGTAAGGACCATTCAAGGGCCTCTTTAGATGGATGTTGTTTGGTGAGGGATGGAAGTCATGGAACCATGGAGGGAGGGTGGGATAGCATAGAATTTGTGTTTGGTGGTTGGTTATGTGGTGATAGATTGCCTTGGCTTCTCCTTACTTTGGTTTTAGAAGGAGAAATATAGATAGAAGTTTCTTGTGGGACTAATTTTAGAGGAGAAATGGAGTAAGAGGGCTTGACCTTGAGAGAAATGATACTAGTGGATGACCTTTGGCAGTTATGGTGGTGCTCTCAAACAAGTCCTCGGCACCGAGGTGCTTTGAAGACCCTATCCCTTCCCTCCCTCCTCCCCTCTCTCTCTCTTTCTCTTTTTCTTTCTCTTGTGTGTATTCGTTCTAGCTTCCAAAAATGCATCCAAATTTGGATAAGCATATCCAGCAAACTCCCAATAAAATAATGATAGAATGTGAATTGAACCTTGAATAAAAAACAATGCGAGTGTAAAGAATTTGGCATAACCTATGAATTAGGTTTAAAACTAACATTTCAATCTTGCAAAAATAGGCTGAAATAATAATTTCATAAAAATGTAAAGGAAGAGAAATAAATTGAATATTTGTCCAATCTTGAATGTCATCATTGTCGAATACATCTTCAATAGTGAAGTGACGATTAAGGGGTGGTTTGGAGATATTGGATGGTGGTGTGAGATGTTAATTGTATCTTCTTGTGGAGGTCATTGTTGAGTGCATTATTTAAATATAGATGATGAGATATTGAATTGGTGTCTACCATTACAATCAATGTGATCAAGCTGATAAATAATGGTGGTCAGGCCAATGATGGGGAAGGGGCAAGCGGGTGGTGGAGGGGGTGAGGGGAATATTTCGGAACATAACATCTCATCAAGAGGGAAACTTTTTCGTTCGTTTGCCTACTGTTAGTATTTTTGAATCATGATTTGAACTGGTGTCCAATTAATTCTCTTTAACTCAAAACTTGTCATGATATTGGAGTGATTTATGCTGCGTCATGGTCGAAGTTGTTGTTTCTAGCACTTGTCCACAACACCATCAATTGGTGCTCTTGTATTGATCATAAGGTGCATTGTTTGATATGAGGAATGCAAAATTGGAAGGGAAGGTAAGCTTCTGTTTTCCTTTTGTTTGGTTGAGATGAAAATGGAGGTTGAAGGTTTCAAAGTGTTTGGTTGAGTCCAATACAACTCGGTCGACTTGTATCCGACTCTACCCCCATTGAACCCATAACTGTACTTGGTACGAGTCTAGCTTGACTTAGTCATGACTCATATACGAATCAATAGAATTGGTAAAACTCAAAGTTGACTCGGTTGACTAGGATAGAATCATAACTGACTCGTAATTTGCAATCACCCAAGAGCTGAAAAAAAGTAGACAAGGGAGAAGGAGAAGAAAAGGTCGAGGCCCACATGAAAACTAGTGAGTTCTATATGTAACCCATATGCATAGTTGAATCCGAGCAATTGTACATAAGAAGAAGAAAAAGAAACTGACTGCATAGAATAAGAAATTGAAAACACCCTGAAGTTACGACATTAACCCTCCTTTTCTTTTTCTTTTGTCCAGTGATCCACGATGCAAGCCTCCGATAGTGTGATAGTTGAAGGACGATGCCCCCTCTCTCTCTTTCTTCCTCGCCCTTTCTTTCTCTTTTTCATTGCCTCTCCCTCTCTCTCCCTCTCCCTCTCCTCTATAGACAAAAATTCTAAAATAGAAAGGTTGAGAGGCTCTCTTGTAACACATTACGAAGAAATCAAAAGACTCAAATGTGAGACGCTAGTTCTTTGTTTATCGAATGTATATTTCATTTAAAAAAAGTCTTGAAAATATATTTTGCTAATGCATGTTATAGTAATATACTAGGGGTAACTTGTGTCTAAAGGCACGGTGCAATATAAACCAACCAATTAATTTGGAGAAGTGAGGAGTGAAGATCCTTGAGAGTAGTGGCAGAGCAAAAAATATGATCTAAGGTTGACACACTTTAAGTATAATAGATAAAAATAATGTGATATATTTATATTTTTTATATCGGATTTGATACTTAAAAATTTATTAAACATAAAAGGGGTCTATTTGAAAAAAATTAATAACATAACATCTATACATCAAAGATCAATTATATAATTTATTTGACACAAATAAAAGTAATATTCTATAATTTTTAATCTTATAAATTTCATATTTTACTCATTTTTGGCTATATAATCCATAATTTTTGAATCAAATGAGGCTTCAATAAATCATACAAATACTCTGAGGAATCAATTTTAGTTTGCTCATTTTAAGAGATTTGTTAGGGACTTTTTGTTTTTATTTTTTTGTTCTAGTACCTAACTTGTTTGACCCAATTAATTTTATTTTTCATAAATCATTACAGTGGGCCCAATTAATCCAAAAAAATATATAAAACTAAAAAAATATCTTTTTTCAAGGTGGCCCTAGCCCCTCCTCCCTCCACCACTGCTAGGGAAAGAGAGTGAAGAGTGAAAAAAGGATGGTAAAATTCAATATGAATGATTTTGAGATAGATGTTGGTAGTCATTAGATGAGTTTATTTGAGACCATAGGATGAGCTTGTTGAAGTCGTCATGTTTTATATTATAGATAAATTCACGAAATATGTTAGAATTGACTTAAAAAAATATTAATTTATATACATGTAATCAAAATCGAATATTAATTATATACATGTAATCAAAATCGAGTCAAATCTAATACAAACAAAAAATTTAATTTATCAAAAAGAATATCGTCAAAATATTTTTTATCAGAAAAAGATCTACAAATATCATCTATAATTTTTTTTTTTAATTAGTAAAGTTATTACAAAATTATTAATTTATAAAAATATATTAACGCTGAGTTTTCTTAAGAGATGAAAAAAAAGTCTTAAAATTTTGATTCAAGATATGTGTAAGACATGTTAGTTCGAAATAATTAATTAAATAAATAAAATTAAAATTAATTATATTTAATTTAAATGTGTTAAAGTAGCACCCTTGTTTTTTTTTAACTATTAAATTGATGAGTTTTTTTTAATCAAAATGTTATCATTGTGTCTTATACAAATTTAAAATATTACACTACACAGATGATATTAATGAAAAATTTGACTCATTTAATTATTATGTCAGAGAAAATTTTGTATTTCAAGATCAACCGTAATCGTTGATCGGTTGAGAGAAAAAATATTAATGAAAAAAATGTTAATTTCTTGACCGTTGGTTGAATGAAATTTAGACTGAAAGATGTGTTTCAAGATTAGCTGTAATTGTTGACTGGTTGAGAGGGGAATATGAAGAAAAAAATGGTAATTTCTTGACCGTTTGATGAATGAATTTGAGACTGTATGATGAATTTATAGAAGCCGCTCTGTTTTATATTATAGATAATCAAAATGTTATCATTGTGTCTTATACAAATTCAAAATATTACACTACATAGATGATATTAATGACAAATTTGACCCATTTAATTATTATATCAGAGAAAGTTCTGTATTCCAAGATCAACCGTAATCGTTAACCAGTTGGGAGGAAAAATATTAATAAAAAAAATGTTAATTTCTTGACGGTTGGATGAATGAATTTAAGACTGTAAGATGTGTTTTAAGATCAGCTGTAAGATGTGTTTTAAGATCAGCTGTAAGATGTGTTTTAAGATCAGCTGTAGGATGGATTTGTTGAAGCCGCTCTGTTTTATATTATAGATCTACAAAATAGATATATATAAGAATTAAATATTTTGTAGTCATATATTTCATAATTGAACTTTACATACTTCTAAAAAGTTATATTTACTAGCATTTGCTAGTGCCTAAAGGCACTATGTAACAAACAATAAAATCACAAGCAAAGGCATTGTGTTATCAATCATTTGCATCGCTCGGATCGACTGTGAGTAACAACCTAATTGAAACATCATGCCAGCAAAAGTTCATGAAATAGAGAGAAAAAACGTCTATTTAGTTTCATAAAACCC